GACGTAAAACCTGGTACGTCCTCAAATGACAGATGTTTACAGGAGGTAAAACCTGGTACGTCCTCAAATGACAGATGTTTACAGGAGGTAAAACCTGGTACGTCCTTAAATGACAGATGTTTACAGGACGTAAACCCCAACAAACCAACCCTTCTCTGTCCACCAGTTATGATAACTGAAGTCTGGTTTGATGATCTTTGTCCTCGATCGTTTTTCCTTTGACTTTTGACCTAGTGTATTCTCGTTGACTTTGATTTTCTGTGTGTTTCCATTGATCTTGCGAGAGAACCCCAAACATCGCCTGTTTCCCTAATAGCTGGTGCCTTGCATCTATTACAATCGATTGTGTAGAAGCATTGAGAGAGGTTTTCTTTTGGTGGTTTATTCGATTTACTGTGATATTCATGTATCTGAAGGAGTTTCTTCTCAGTGTTGCTTTGCCTTGGTTGTGATATATATGCTTGAGTTCTGAGATGATTTTGATGTCGGAGAAAACAACCTGGTCTTTGTTTATATTCCGTTTGCTTTGTTAGGTGGGTTGGACACGGCTTGTTGTCCGTTTGCTTTGTTAGGTGGGTTGGACACGGCTTGTTGTCCGTTTGCCTGCTCATATTAATAAACTTATAAAGAGAATATAAACGGCACTGTCATGGTTCGAACCCTTGATCTTTATGTGAAACTCCTTCATCTAAATATAACTGCCTATTCGACAACGTTTAACTAGTATACAGATGATTTTATTTTCGCATTTAGTGAATAATCAAAAACTGAAAATATTACTTTGGTGTAAGTTTGGTAATGGAAAATATCTTAACAGATATTTTTTGTTATCAAGTTCAACTGCGTTTCTTTGTTTCGAAAACAGGCGTTTGGGTAAGGACGATTTCCCACTCACACGTGTCGATCCACATTTGCTAATTCCACATTGTCATTGGATGAACCAACATAGAATTCGTAAATAGATAATTGATTACTCGTGAACTGTACGTGTTCACAAGCAAATAGTAATTGGTATACCACTTTCCCATTAATACATCAGTTTGTAAGTTATCATTCGACTTACAAATTGTTTTCCTATCACTTTTACAAGATAGGATTCTCAGCTATGTATAAAATATCTTTATATCAAACCTGTGGTCGAGTCTCAGGACGAGATATATATTTTACCATTTTACTTGTCGTCGATGTCTTCCTACAAGTCTTGCTCTTCAATTGATTAAGATTTGCTGGTGACATATCCTTCCTTGAAAGACTGTTCCTATTTTTTTTGTTAACATCTCTTGTACTTATTCCTTGCTTTCTTTGAAAAGATCTCTATGTTGGCACTCGACTGGATATGCTGATGATTGATAAGAAACTCAAGTAACAAATAATTAGTGGTTCCTTGATTAAAGCGAATTTATCCGCCATCTTTACTTTAGAATCCCTCATTTTTATGGGGGGTTTAATTTTGTGAATAATCTTCATCCACAAATTAATAGGTCCACAAATAATGACACGTTTAAATGGTTAATCGTAATCCACGAATTCTTGTACCCACCGAAATATTCTTATTGTAGGGAAACAACGAAATTTTGACCTCATGAAAATATCTGATTTCACAGTATCTTCAAATATTTTCAATTATACGCATTAAATCCGTTAAATTGAAATGCCGATGACAAAATCTCAGTTCCTTTTGATGCAATTTGTTATAGAAGATTAATTGAAAAGGACAGTAGAACATAAACCATATTTCTCTCCTTAATTAGCAGGTTTGGTTCATCAATATTAATAATGGAAGACAGAGATAAATTTGTATGACACTGCATGGTGGATGATATGTATATCTATTCGCCAAATGTTAAAATTAAACAGCTATAACAGACAAAAGGCAACACTTTAATTGGGCGAGCGGCAGAAAGCAATCTGTTAAAACAAATAACCGTAGCATTCGTTAAATACGCTCCTCCAATAACTGCAACTCGACTGTCATTTTCGGAAATTATGAACAGCCAATCAATTTCGGGACAAAAACATCGTTATAATTGATATTGGAAAGAGAAAACAGTTCGTTATGTATTCAGATCAAGGTAATCGATAATTTTTATACTGACGTTCTGATACATGAGTTAGTGAGCTTCTTTCAATCTCGTGATTATAAAGAATACACATTTTTATCAGTTTATCGCGACGATATCCGGCAGACAATTCCGATGACTCATACAAGAAACTGCTCTTTAAAAGAATATATCACTTCAGTCTATACCTTGAATCCTAGAGTTAGAGACGGTGTCCTCCTCTTCTCTTGTTATCATTTACATTGAGAACCCCTTTTGTGACAGTTGTACCACATCATCCATATGCTGGTTAATATACTTTGATCCTACCTCATCGCAATCTCCTGTGTTTCCTTCTCGATACTTTTAGAATACTTAGTCTAAATCATTGAGGCTTTTTGTAAAACCCCACTTATTCCGTACTCCATTCGAAGTTGAAAGCGTCGCCTACCAATTGCTTACAGGGTGTACAAAAGTTGGAATGTCGTTTGTCCTATACGTGTATAAGTATTTTTGGGATTTTCTTTTTCTTGCGTTGTGCTAGTCTATCGATCACATCAATAGTACCAGCAGAAGATGTTGCTTTTTTGATGGTGCGCGAAACAGTTACTGTAGCGAGAAGTGGAATGGATCCATAATCGCTAATTACTTTGAGATGAACGAATAAAAGTTTGTTTATTTCAACTATTTCGTTTCAGAAGAAATTTTACCGAAGAATGTTAGCTCTATATTGCATTAGTATTTGTGAAGGTGTAAAACGTCATTGCTTAGAAAGATAAGCGTAGGCAAACCCCAAGTTATGTGTTAGCATTTAGGTTATCTTTCTCTCAAGAGTTTAATTTTTTATATTTGTTCCGGATACATTTCAAACAAGCTCCTTTAGCAAATTGGTTGAGTAGTCGTTTTTGCAGGTCCAAGATTGTGTTTTCTATCTTACCATCTGTGATCATTACGAGTCAACCTTCATTGGGAATTTTAGGGAATTCTTTGCAACGTCTTTCCAGTGCAATACCTGGTAGTTCTTCGAAATATACTCTCATAATGCATTTCCGAGTTGGCAGCCTTATTAAGAAGCTGTACACCGGAAATGCAAATAGTTGAATGCGATAACTGTGTAATAAACTCCGGTTCTGTGTCTGTACTGATTCGTTTGTCGGCCCGAGGAATTATTGATAAAAGGAAATCAATGACTCTTGCGTGCTGTAGTGCTGCCGACAGGAAAATCTATCGGTTTTCTATTCGAAGTATCGTATTTTACCAAACATATTTTGTCTCCTTCTTAACAGCAATGTATAAGTCCATGAACCCCATTACTTGATCGCAGTCGCGGGTTATTTTTCTGGTCATCTGAAGAAGCATTCAACCGTATACAAATGTATAATTCCTAAACTGTAAGAATACACATCATCTATCTTTCCTCGTCGTTGAGGTGCACTGTATCATCATCAGACGCGCTGTAGCATAATGAATACCCCGAACCTTCGTCTAACAAACAGTACTTCGAACCTTTGTAAAACGTATCTGGTCAGAATAACCAGTAGAGATAGGCATTGGTAATTATCCAGGATATTACGTAAATCGTTCAAAGCGTCTTTATGTAGAAACATATCCATGATGACGTCATGAATACACGATAAAAGAAAATAAATACACTGTACGTATTCTCTGTTGTTTATTTTTGCTTATAATTTTTGTTAGAAATTGACATTGTAGTTTTTATACAACACTTACTGAGGCTACTTCTAACTTCTTTACTTTATCTCAATTTCATAAAACTATATGGAATATGAACTCTTCCAAATAATTTTATAAATTTGAGTGTTCTGAGATAGCAGTCGAGATTGATGTTATATCAGATATTTGATATTCTAGATTCTGATATTTATGTTGCATGCGTGATCACGATAAGAGTCCATTTTTTGTTGTACTGGACGCCATGATGGATACCATTGCTGTCGACACAGTAGGTACCTGTCCGCGACCGAGCTCCAGACTGATCGATTGTTGTTCAGTCTGATTTCACCAGCCCCGGTAGTAAAATGTTCGGCACAGGTCTACATAAAGGTTAGGCGTAGAGACAAACTGAATGTAGGTAACTTAACAAGTATAAACGATCCTCGATCTAAACTATTTCCCATACTTTCATAAAACATTTTGTAAACTACCATATTTTCCATGTTTTTTCGCGCTGGGTCTTAGTACTGACGGTTCTTTTACGTCTTCTGTTTTATACACTTCAATCCAGATTTCATTTACTATAAGATTTGTTCTAACAATGTTGGAGGTTTGACACGCCGAGATACTATTGAGAGGCGCCGTGTAACAAGCAAAGTTTCAAAGTTCGGATTTTGACGAAATATAACGCGTTACTCGCATTTCCGTGGTACCTCAAATATTGCTTTGTACAAATTCGTTCTTAACTTTTCCAATATATCCGAACCTTAAGGTCAAACTACAACGTGATTTCCTAGTAAATACAGAAAAGGACTGCATGTTATATTTCACAAGCAGAATACTATTTCTGATGGTTATACATTGTATAAATCCGGTTCGTTTAAAGCCCCGCTGCGTTTTTGTATTAACCCATGCAGCCATAGTCAGCGAAGTGCTAGCATGACATAGACTTGCGTTTTGTGTGTAATATTCGTAATGCAATTTATTTTTGTGTCGGTAGAATAAAAATAAGATCTTATTTTAAGGGTTTTGAACTACACAAGTGTTTACAATCAAGTGTGCTTGTTTCTTTCGTAATATTGTCACCCCATGGTCACATACTTAATACATTTTTATGCATGTTATTTAAAATATCATTCATCGAGCAGAAACATCTATTTTTACCATGCCATGCTGCAAAATATTAGAATAAAACCACACACTTAACTGGATTTTCTCGCACAATAAACTTATTACAGATATTGTTGACAGCTCCCTTTAAATCATCTCCATTTTGTTATGTTTCAGGACACATACGGGTTATGTATGCAGGGCTACTCGGCAACGTTGTTCGATTTATGTACATATCCTGGCTAAAAAGTCCATGGTGGGTCCTTCCGTTCGAGTTCGTCCAAGGTGAGTATGTGTGAAGAGTATCTCATTGACAATTTATTGACAAAAAAAATAGATAAACAAGGCCAATGACGCTAACAGGTATTGGAGCTTTTCTTTTACAAATGCCGTGGCAAAACGTGTAGGAAAATGTTGAAGTGATTAGCTTGCCAAACGATATTTGAAAATTACAAAGCTTACATTTCTAAACGCAAATTCCTTTTTCGCAGTGGTTCAAATTATTGTGTAAGAATCGACTTTCATGTGTTCGAATTTTTCGAATTACGTCCGTAAGGAAGTAAAAGTGCGCCACCTCTTCAAACCAACACTCTCTATTGTCCTTGGTAAAGGATTTAATCAACCATACCTCTTCAAACCAACACTCTTTATTGTTCTTGGTAAAGGATTTAATCAACCATACCTCTTCAACCAACACTCTCTATTGTTCTTGGTAAAGGATTTAATCAACCATACCTCTTCAAACCAACAATCTCTATTGTTCTAGGAAAAGGATTTAATCCATCATACCGTTTATTTAACGCTCATGTTAAAAAAAAGATTTCTGTCGTTTAGTGTTGGGCCTGGTGGTAAATAAAGAGGGGATCTGTGGTAGAAACATAGTTATATGGACTACATTTAGTATAACTAGTATAAATACGGTTTAAAAGGTTACAGTGTGCATTAGTATTTTATAAACAATTTTGTCAACAAAAGTACAAATCAAACAGCAAAATGAAAATGCCAGAGTCACACCTCCCCACGAAATCCCCACAATTCATGCGCTGAAAAGCACTTACAATGAGTCCCACAAGTTCCAGCAAAAACACCGACTACTGATATAATAGATGATATTGTTCTAGGATTGAGTAGCGAGGACTGGCTGACAACTGTTGTAATTATCTGTATTGTGAAAATCGTTAACAGTTTCACTCCGTTATTTCTATGGCAGCTCCTGTTGATTACATGTGTCGGTTCTGCAGCTGAAATGGAGATTCCATAACATATAATTCAAAGATTAGATTGCCGGCGAAGTTTTGTAATTGAATTCAGATTGAAGCTTAAAAATCCATATTATTTCATTTAATACCGAAATACTTTTCGGTAAGAAAGACAAGGAAAGTTGGAATATTTTTCGTGTGTGACGTAATTGTAACTTTAAATATCCTTTATTTTTATCAACTTTTGAGGTCTATATTAATTTACTTATCATTTTTTCGTGCTTTCGTTTCTTTCGTAAATAACTGTTGAGACAGTTGGATTATAGGGACAATCGTTTATCAAAAATGGCATAATTAAAAACATTTGGTTGATAGTGGTACAAGTGACTTAGTGCAGACTGGGTTAGCTACACCCTATGCCAATATAACTATATCAAAACCACCATATTTAGCGTATGTTGACTTCGCCTAGAAATTTATTACATGTATTCACGTATAAATATCTGATGGTCAGATAGTAAATCTTAAGTGAATGGTGATTAGACTTTGAAGTCTGTCAAACCGCTCTAATATTGCCTCATGTATTGTACTTTCTATTTTGTGCTTTAATATATCAACTCATAACAACAAGAAAAAACCTTTCAAATTCAAAAATTAAGCGAAAATCTTTCTATTTCTGAATTGGTAATTTCCGGTATAAAGTCGTTATTACATTTTTAATCAGGCATCGGCATAATTACAAACTGGCCGCTCTACAACATCGTTTTTCAGATGGTACACATTCAAATAGATTTTCCCTTGATTATCGGTTAAATAACATATTAAAGTATTAGACATCTATCAGAAGCATCCCCCTCGTTGATCAGGTCGGAGACAATGTTGTGACCTCATGACCAATACACAGTACAGTATTGACACGTGCTAATTTATACAGGTCCGTTTCTTAAGTTCACTGTGCTGCAACTTTCCTATGACAGTAGATTATAGTTATCATTCAATGTCTAGTACATACTGCTTTATAAGAAAAAGTTTAACATTTTCAACAAGCATCATTGACTTAATCCTTTAAAAAATCAGAAGACAAATATACAATAAGACGGACTTATTCACTGATGCATTACATTCCAATGCCTGTGTCCCCCCGATGATGGAAGGTTCTATTTTGCGGTAATTGTTACATTCCATTGCCTGTGTCCCACGATGGTGGAAGGTTCTATTTTGCGGTAATTGTTACATTCCAATGCCTGTGTCCCCACGATGATGGAAGGTTCTATTTTGTGGTAATTGTTACATTCCAATGCCTGTGTCCCCCCGATGGTGGAAGGTTCTATTTTGCGGTAATTGCCTGGTGATGAAAATTATAAATATGCTCTCTGATGACCACCTACGTTGAAACTGACCTAATTGCATGAATAAATTTAACTGACCACACCCTATTCTCAGGTTTGACCCACGCGGCAGTATGGGCAGCATGCTGTTCCTACATAACACAAGCCATACCCACGGGACTGCGCTCTTCCGCCCAAGGCATCCTCCAGGGACTACATCACGGCCTCGGACGCGGATGTGGGGCGGTGTTCGGTGGCATAATGGTCTACAGCTACGGTGAGTAGGAATATGTGTTAACTGTTGAGGTACATAGCAACATAAAATAGCCAGATAAGTCTTGGCACGTCCACTCTCATCATTATGTAACTGTCGATTTGTAACACAATTAGCATTGTGTACTTGTCTAATACCTCTACACATTGTGATAAAACATCAATGAATATGATATACGGATGTACCATTTTGTATATAGTGTATATTTACATTTCATATTCATCTAATCATGTTTTTTCAGTTTTAATATCGTGTTTGGACACATTTTTCATTAATATTTTATAAGAACATACTTGAATTATTTTCTTTCAATCAGTCCTCGATTGGTATCACGAATACAAACTTATTTGCATACAGGAACATTACCGACTACTGCTTACTGAGTAGTTTCCTAAACCTGCTCTCATGATGTATTCTTTACATAAATCGTTGGCACACAGATCCACACCTCGGCGCATCAGAAATCTGTAGTTACAGTCTGCTTAGTTGCTTTATGGCAGATCTAGATCAGTTCTAAAAAAAAACTCGTCGAATGACTAAATCCCAAAGAACCTAATAACGCAGACAAATGTCTGATGACAACCCCATGAGATTGTGTACGTCGATATGCAGCCTTCCTCAACAGGTGTGTGTAGGCGTAATGGCAGATTGGAATGTACACAAGAAAACTAGGTCACGATACAATGAACCACAGTATCAAATATCGTCGTTGTGAGTACCAGAACACACTGGTTTCAATGCCATTTTTTTAATAATGTGATATTGTTTTCTTGAAAAAGTAGTTCCCTCGGTACTGGTTTTGGTACTATTTCGTCCCTAGACAACACAAAGAGACTTAAACGCTGTAAACAGAAGACATTGATGTCTAAACAGTAACAGCATAGAACCAGCCTATTGTTGCTCGACATTGGTTTTTCCTGGTGAATTCTGATGCTTAAGATCGCAGATATTACGACACACTTCAAACGCTTTTAGGAACTGTCGCCCGGGTTATATGGACACAGTGAAATTGTTTGAAACAGCTGGCACGGAGCCAGTGAACCAAACACGCAATAAATCGGATTTAGATCTATTACTGACAGATTTGATTGCCTTTGAGATTTTAGTGTGCCTAATTGAATATAACGCTTAAATGTAACTTCCAGGAACGATAGAGTAGGAGAGACAACGCGTTATCGACTTCCACTGGATTGTTGATGATATAGAAGAAGATTGTGTTAATAATGATCATGGATATTCCTGTCAGATCTGTACCAAGTATTGTTCGGGAAAGGTTTCGTCGTATTCTCCATACATATGCTCAAACCGAAAAGTAACATGTTCAGTCGTTCCCTGGTCTGGCTTTAGTCAAATGATTGGGAAAATAGAAAGAGAAGAATGTCCTTGCCTCTCACAGTTTACGTTAGCTGCGCCTCTTTATTTGCTAATGGCCGCATAATTTGACCCCATTCCAGTCGACTAAATACCTTGATCAGTCATTAACACACATTCACAGTGTAAAACAGAACGCAACACTCACTTCGCGTCCATTACTGGTGTAGGAACAGAAAGTACGTACGTTACACATTTTGTCATTCGTGGACTATGATGGGAACGTGTGTATGACGTGATGACATTACTGTCCTTCCAGGATAATTACACAATGTTTATTGCCCATATAACACACGACTTGATCTTGTGTTGATTAACGTCCGGTTAGCAACGAAATATGCAGTGCACCAAATAAATGGACTACACACGAATGAAGTCTTTTTCTTCATAACGACTCTAACACTCCGTCATTTGATCGGCAGTAAAATTTGAAAAGACAATGAAAACATCTGTGTATGATTACTGTCCGTTCTAGTTACACAGAAGGAAAAGTATGGTATTTGGCAATGCTACATACATAGATACATTTATTTACACAGATTTAATTTTTAACGAAGTTCCGACAAAAATACTGCTTTACGCAGTTGGCATATTAATAAATAATAATAATATAATAATTCGAGGTTCTGATATACCACTTTATCACAACCTAATTTGTAGGTCGTCTCAAAGCGGTTCACAAATTATTATCCGTTTCTTAACTTCCTGGGGAGCATACAGCCATAGCTGCCATTTCGGCGCTAACAGCTAGCATTCAACAATTCTAGCACTGCCCAACCACGTACTCATTTACAGCTGAGAAGACTTGAACAAGCGGAGTAAAGTATCTTGCTCAAAGATACAACACCGTGCCGTGGCGTGACTCGAACCCGCAACCCTTCGGTCACGAGCCCAGCGTCCTACCACTAGACTACCGTGCCTCCGATTGCAACTCTATTGTCTCTAAATGTGGTCTCGATATCGTTATTTGCTTTATCTAATCCAAGAACCCATCTTACTGTTTAAAATATAAGGCAGGAACTTTCATCTTGAATGAGAGTTTAGTCAAACACAATACACAACGGGAAAACATTGTTGTTCTTTTCCAAATATTTCTTATTGAGATTTAGTTATTCAAAGCACAAATAAGAAGGTTTGTATCCGTTAAAAGTTATAGTACTCAGATGCTTTATCCAAAATACCCTAAATTGGCAAAATGACTATAAGATGTGATAAATCTTTGTTTGGCATTCTAAATCGATTTGAGTTTTTAAATAACTGCTGTTTTACTTTGTATTTCTAGTGGTTATTTGTATTGGTGCAATTGTTTTTGACAACTTGCTGTTTTTCTTATCTATAAGTTTATCCGGAAGCATACTTTATATTAAGAATACAGATGAATCAACTTTTGTTTTGTTACAGGAGCGGAAGTGACGTTCCGAGCATACGGTGTTACTTGTTTGATATTGCTGATCCTGTACATTGTCATGAACTTTTTCATCGTGGATCATGGCAAATTTTCGTTTGGAAGTCACGAAAAGCACGAAATTCTCGAGGAGGAGGACAACATTTGTCACCTGGCGCCACACGGTGTTCCTTCTGGCATGGCACGTGACCTCTCTAGCAACAAGCTCCGGGAAGAAGGTAAATAACTTATCAGGGGCAAAACATTTCTGATCGTTGTTTTTAGTTCTCTTGATAAATTAACCTTAAATGGTTTTTTTTTTTATAACAAGGAAATCAAATATGTCTTTGTAAAGCAATTACTGACACTAGGTGGAGGTTGTAGTTGTAATAGATTGTTCGTTCACCTAATAATTACTTCTGAAGGTGTAATATAAATCCTTAATCAAGCCCAATTTACCGTTGAGAATTTAATTTAAACGACAAAGAAACAACATGCGACATTTATCAGTAAAGTTACCAACATAAGTTCAATTACAGAGTAATTGGAAAATGCCCATGTTAGAAAATTTCACATCCCCGTCATTTGTCGACAAGCAGTCCCTCGTTAGGACGAGAGACGCGTGTCATACCGGAAGCCAGGCAGGAGATGCGGCGGTGTAAATTATAGGGTTTCTTGATGAGGCCTGCAGGAGCGTAGTAACCAAATATTACACAACGTCGAAGAATCAATATTTCCTTAACTCCTAGCCTCACAGCTCACCTAATGATTTGAGATAACTGTGTAAAGTGGATGGGGTCCTTTAGCTGACTATGAAGTAATCGTACAATGAACAACAATTAAGTACTTACCTGTAAAGCATTGATAGTGTATGATTGAACTGATTTCAATTAGACATAAAAGAATGCACGAACAGACTTTCAAAATGAATTGCAAACGCTTGTTCAGGTTTGCTAAATGGTTTCAATATTCTCGTGTAGTTAACCTAGGTTTTATCAAGCTTAAAAAAGCATCGTCAGACCAAGTCTTATAAATCTCGTGTACAATGTAAACAAATGAAATATGCGTTNATACTACAGGGGGGACATATACTACAGGGGCATATACTGCAGGGGGACATACACTACAGGGGGGGAGGGCATGAACTACAGGGGGGACACATACTACAGGGGGGACATATACTACAGGGTGGATATATACTACAGGGGGGACAAATACTACAGGGGGGACATATACTACAGGGTGGATATATACTACAAGGGGGACAAATACTACAGGGGGACATATACTACAGGTAGGGACATATACTACAGAGGGGACACATACTACAGGGGGACATACACTACAGGGGAGACATATACTGCAGGGGGGACATACACTACAGGGGGGANATGCCCATGTTAGAAAATTTCACATCCCCGTCATTTGTCGACAAGCAGTCCCTCGTTAGGACGAGAGACGCGTGTCATACCGGAAGCCAGGCAGGAGATGCGGCGGTGTAAATTATAGGGTTTCTTGATGAGGCCTGCAGGAGCGTAGTAACCAAATATTACACAACGTCGAAGAATCAATATTTCCTTAACTCCTAGCCTCACAGCTCACCTAATGATTTGAGATAACTGTGTAAAGTGGATGGGGTCCTTTAGCTGACTATGAAGTAATCGTACAATGAACAACAATTAAGTACTTACCTGTAAAGCATTGATAGTGTATGATTGAACTGATTTCAATTAGACATAAAAGAATGCACGAACAGACTTTCAAAATGAATTGCAAACGCTTGTTCAGGTTTGCTAAATGGTTTCAATATTCTCGTGTAGTTAACCTAGGTTTTATCAAGCTTAAAAAAGCATCGTCAGACCAAGTCTTATAAATCTCGTGTACAATGTAAACAAATGAAATATGCGTTCAATTGATTGATTACAATACTTTTGATTATATTCGCAAATACATGTTTTCTATAGAATAATCACTATAAAGTGTTTACACATTTGGAATAGGGTCGTGTAGGTGCATGTGATAGTGTACATCTCTTTGAAGTGTTTTACATATTCCATATACTACAGGGGGGACATATACTACAAGGGGAGACACATACTATAAGGGGGAACATATACTACAGGGGGGACACATACTACAGAGGGGGGGACATATACTACAGAGGGGACATATAATACAGGGGGGACATATAATACAGGGGGGGGGGACATACACTACAGGAGGGACACATACTACAGGGGCATATACTGCAGGTTGACATACACTACAGGGGGGGGCATATACTACAGGAGGGACACATACTACAGGGGGGACACATACTACAGGGGCATATACTGCAGGGGGACATACACTACAGGGGGGAGGGCATGAACTACAGGGGGGACACATACTACAGGGGGGACATATACTACAGGGTGGATATATACTACAGGGGGGACAAATACTACAGGGGGGACATATACTACAGGGGGGACATATACTACAGGGTGGATATATACTACAGGGGGGACAAATACTACAGGGTGGGACATATACTACAGGGAGGGACATGTACTACAGAGGGGACACATACTACAGGGGGACATACACTACAGAGGGGACACATACTACAGGGGGGACATATACTACAGGGTGGATATATACTACAGGGGGGACAAATACTACAGGGGGGACATATACTACAAGGGGGAACATATACTACAGGGGGGACACATACTACAGGGGGACACATACTACAAGGGGGACACATACTTCAGGGGGCATATACTACAGGATATACTACAGGGTACTTTTACTACTGGGGAGAACATATACTTCAGGGGGGACACATACTACAGGGGGACACATACTACAGGGGGGGACATATACTTCAGGGGGATGTATACTACAGGGGGGACATATACTACAGGAGGACACATATTACAGGGGGTACATATACTACAGGGTGGATATATACTACAGGGGGGACAAATACTACAGGGTGGGACATATACTACAGGGAGGGACATGTACTACAGAGGGGACACATACTACAGGGGGGACACATACTACAGGGGGACAAATACTACAAGGGGGGCACATACTTCAGGGGGCATATACTACAGGATATACTACAGGGGACATATACTACAGGGGGGGGGACATATACTACAGGGGGGACACATACTACAGGGGGACACATACTACAGGGGGGGACATATACTTCAGGGGGATGTATAATACAGGGGGGACATATACTACAGGGGGGACACATACTACAGGGGAGACACATACTACAGGGGGACAAATACTACAAGGGGGGCACATACTTCAGGGGGCATATACTACAGGATATACTACAGGGTACTTTTACTACTGGGGGGAACATATACTTCAGGGGGGACACATACTACAGGGGGACACATACTACAAGGGGGACACATACTTCAGGGGGCATATACTACAGGATATACTACAGGGGACATATACTACAGGGGGGGGGACATATACTACAGGGGACATTCATCACAGGGTGGACATATTACCGGGTGGACATATACTACAGGGGGCACATATACTACAGGGGGACACATACTACAGGGGGGACACATACTACAGGGGGGACATATACTACAAGGGGGACACATACTTCAGGGGGCATATACTACAGGATATACTACAGGGGACATATACTACAGGGGGACATATACTACAGGGGACATTCATCACAGGGTGGACATATTACCGGGTGGACATATACTACATTCATCACAGGGTGGACATACTACCGGCTGGACATATACTACAGGGGGGACATATACTACAGGGTATACTACAGGGGGGACACATACTACAGGGGGAACATATACAACAGGGGGCATATACTACAGGATATACTTCAGGGGACGTATACTACAGGGGGGGCATATACTACAGGGGGGGGGGCATATACTACAGGGGGGACACATACTACAGGGGAGACACATACTACAGGGGGAACATATACTACAGGGGGCATATACTACAGGATATACTTCAGGGGACGTATATTACAGGGGGGACATATACTTCAGGGGGTACATATACTGCAGGAGGGACATATACTACAGGGGGAACATATACTACAGGGGGGACACATACTACAGGGGGAACAATTTAACGTTGTACTCATGACAATTTGATGAACAAATATATTCATAATACTTGGAATCAATTTCACAGTCCTGCTTAAAAAATGCAATCATCTTACAAATTGAACGAGTAAGATTTGCAATTCGAGCTAGTGGTATGAATAACACAGATGGAATACCAAGGCCCAATATGATAACATTCTCATTAATAATATGACAGTATTTTTAAACGTTCCCCAAAGTTGATGTTCCAACCTTTAAATTCAAATTTGCTTATAATAGTCTTTCAGAAAATAATAAACGTTACAATATATAATAAGATATAAATATTGTTTGACCATGCTTATATTTTTTTGTTAAAGGTATGACCAACTATGGAGCCACAAGTAAGTCAACTAAGGTTTTCAAATAACGATGTATTAGTTTTGGTGGTTCAGGGTTCTGTATAATTATTAAACTGATATATATCAAATCATAAAACTTAGCCTCTATGAAGCGCTAGTATACCATTATCCAAAGTGAATATGTTTAATAAAGTTCCAAACAGTGATAAGTGAGGGTACGTTTCTATATTGTGAATCTTTGATATTATTGTTTACATTGTGTAGATGACAAGCAAGATCATTTTGAACTTCACCAAAAGTGTTAGTATAGCATATTTATATTATTCACAATTTAGTATTTAGTTGTAGAAATAAATTCAGCCGTATTTTTCCAGGCCGATTTTGTTCACTGAGGTTTCAATACAGTAACACCTCGATATAACACCTCGATATAATGTCCCTCATTTCATATGCCACCCCTCTTACCACCAACAGATTTCATTGTTCATTTTTCCTCTTTTTCTTGAGGATTCTTTATATATTAACCTCATGTTATCGCCAAACACCTTTTACGCAAAATAATGCATGTCAGCATCGTACCATTGTCTATATCATACAATTGTCCATTTGTCAGCACCGTAACGTTGTCCAAATCGTACCATTGTCCCTTTGTCAGCATCGCGACGTTGTCTAAATCGTACCATTGTCCCTATGTCAGCACCGTAACTATGCTAAATCGTACCATTGTCCCTATGTCATCAACGTAACTATGCTAAATCGTACTATTGTCCGTATGTCAGCACCGTAACTATGCTAAATCGTACCATTGTTCCTATGTCAGCACCGTAAATATGCTAAATCGTACCATTGTTCCTATGTCAGCACCGTAACTATGCTAAATCGTACTATTGTCCCTATGTCAGCACCGTAACTATGCTAAATCGTACCATTGTCCCTATGTCAGCACCGTAACTATGCTAAATCGTACCATTGCTCCTATGTCAGCACCGTAAATATGCTAAATCGTACCATTGTCCTTTGTCAGCACCGTAACTATGCTAAATCGTACAATTGTCCTTTGTCGGCACCGTAAATATGCTAAATCGTACCATTGTTCCTATGGCAGCACCGTAACTATGCTAAATCGTACAATTGTCCTTTGTCGGCACCGTAACTATGCTAAATCGTACAATTGTCCTTTGTCGGCACCGTAAATATGCTAAATCGTACCATTGTCCTTTATCAGCACCGCAACTATGCTAAATCGTACCATTGTCCCTTTGTCAGCACCGAAACGTTGTCTAAATCGTACCATTGTCCGTATGTCAGCACCGTAACTATGCGAAATCGTACCATTGTTCCTATGTCAGCACCGTAACTATGCTAAATCGTACCATTGCCCCTTTGTCAGCACCGTAACGTTGTCTAAATCGTACCATTGCCCCTTTGTAAGCACCGTAACGTTGTCTATATCGTACCAGTGTCCCTTTGTCAGCACTGTAAATATGCTAAAGTGTACCATTGCCCCTATATTAGCTTCGTTTTGTTGTCCGTTTCTCATCAAGGGGTACACATCCACGATCATAACTTTCTTACCACAAAATTAAGAGCTTAACATCCATATTAAAACAAGCAACAATGCAATGCATTATTATTCATATTATTCAAATGTGATGTATCGAATTTTTAACTTAGAAGAAAACTACCATTTACAAATTGTAACATATGTTATATTTCGTTCATTACAATATTACATACACAAAACTTTATGTAATATCATGTTTGTTACAGGCTACGTACCTAACGGACCCGGGGATGATTTCTACCCGGATGTAAGTACATGTATTAGATATTTTAACAGTGTTAAGTTTCCCTAAAAAAAACATTAAATTTTAGAAATACACAGTTGTTGCAAGTTATTGCTATCAAATGTATGATGGCAAAATCCTCTCAGTGAAAGATCAAACTTTGTAACTATATATAGTTAATCTTTATTACATCTATGGTTGTACACTGTTACTTAGCAAATTAAACAAACAAGCATTAATATTTTCAGAACTTTGACAATGATACACAAAAGATAACGACAAACGAGCCCCCAGCCATGGCCACACAAGTCTACCAGCAGCAGCCATATAATACTTACGACCAACGCTATGGGCCATAGATTCAAAACAACACCTTAGACCAATGCTGTGGACAAAAGATGGAACTCAACACCTTCGACCAACTATACGCGCCACAGACTGAACAGAAGAACTCACGACTAACGGTACAGACCATTGATGTAACAACTTGACACCTTTAACTAGCGAAAACGACCATGGAGTCAATAGAATAAAAAGTTCGACCAGTCATACGGACCCCAATTTCAATACAATAACACTTCAAACCAACGATATGTTGAACATTCAATCTAACCAATCAAGTATACGGACCATATTTAACTATAGCTCTCGTCCGACTCAAATTACGGACCAATATATAAAACCCTTCATGTGATTTGACCAATGGAACGGACCTTATATCAACCTTTACACATCCAACCTACGGAATAGACCACCTATCTCGTTTGACTTCAAGACATATATATATATCGTTTATATATCGCATTTAAGGAAGAAGATAATGAAACAGTTACTAACGTACGTATACGCAGTCCTTCTCATCGTAAATACAAGTTGGTTCGAAACTGCACTGCTACATACTGGTGTTATAATAACCTGACAGTGAGCATGTACAACAAAAGCAGTGAAATGTTCATCGCGAGACATCCCTTAATGTATCGTGTTAGTCCTGTGGGACAAACATGCTATTTTGTAGTCAACAAATAACCATCTGATGTATTTATTATGACACAAACATACATCGCAGTTAGTTGTCACATGATGCATTCGTTTTTGCAAATTGATAACCGTAGAAATATCATTCAACGAAACAATGAGGAAAGGAATCATTAAAGCCCGGCCACTACAGCATACATTGAAGGGCAGGTTATTATGCTCCGTTCGTTTTTCCCCGTTCAATCATTACGTAGTTTACATAAGAATTAGACGCTGATATCATACTCTCCTGATGCTTTCAGATTATACATCGCTTGTCAATATTTTTCCTATGTATAAGCCAAACATCTCATCCTGTAAAAAATATCAATTTAGCAGAATTATCAAATACACATTAGTTTGTCTCTACGGAAATCGTTTAATGATCGATATTTCTTCATGGTACTTGTTCATTGATGTAGTTCCTGAAAGGATTAGTCCTAAAGCGTTCTTTTACATACCGTGTATGTCGTATTATGTCTGTTTTAGATGTCAATTAAATTATAAATAGATATGAGTTTCGTGTGGAGTATGGACATGCTACGAAAATCGTATAAAAACATCCTACATGTATAGCATAACTGCTAAATTTAATGTAGAATACTATCACGATAATCGATTTCATACACATGCACGTGTTAGCTGAGAAATAAAAGATCACATTGAGATGAGAAAAAGGATAAACTTGAAAAATATGAAGAAGGAGCAAATTTGGATTTGATCATTTTTAACGGTGCTAACGTCAGCAAAATTCATATATTTATGACCTGGCCGTTTGTCGTGACAAAAGTTTTGTAACCGGAATATCTTTCAAACCCCATAAATCTTTGATCCGACGCTGTAATCGTTAAGTCGTAAGTAAGTGTCTAACATAGACATGTGATACATCATACCTATACATGGCTTTATGTGCTTTGTCGGTGCGTCAGTTATGGATGAGTCCGATCACACGTCATCTAGATCTTACTTTATCAAGCTACTGTTACACGTCCCAGTCTGTATTATGTAGATGACCATCAACGAACACACTGGTGATTTAACAATGCTCTTTCATCTGGTGTCTACTTGTCACGATCAATCAGGCAAAATCTCAGTAAAAAAAAGAACGAAAAGTAGTAAGTTTCATGGAGTTGATATACTAACGACTGTTCTTATTTGTTGTCAATATAAGTAGAAAACTGTAATCTTATGTAGTAGACAGCAACACTTAACATCAGGAAACCATTTACGCACGTTTATAGGAATCTTGATGTAAAAGGCAGGAGAACACAGTAAGTGGTCACACTGACAGTGCTGAATGTGTTAAGCCCCTTTATTGTACACATGTTTTCATTACAGGGACGACTAATATAAAGTGTCACAGAGTTATGCCCCTTTACATGTTTAAATATGTGTGTAGTTGTAGAGTCTGTATGGTAAGTGACGAGTTGATGTACATGTTGTAAAGGAAACAGACAGGTAGACGTATTATGTATGTGATATCGTTTAATAAATAAATTCTAAATTAGCTACAATACATATTTACCTAGTATAACACATGTAAATGATTCAATATGAATCTTTAATATTATAATGAATTTTGTATTCAGTTTATGTTACATTGTTAATTGTTTTAACTATTGCTGTTGAATGAATTGTTGAGAACAATGTACGTACTACCAGCATCATTATTACTAGTGCTTCGTGGATATCAGTGGAACCAATGGTAATGTGTTTGCCTTTATGGCAGTCTAGCGAGAGGCTTAACATCATTCCATTAATTTATACATTTACACATAATCGACTCTGCTTGTGCCATATTCCCATTTTGAGGTGATATCATCAACAACGTACTTTGTATATATATCATGAAATTTTAGCCATGATTCGTGAATTACACTGGCATCAATGGATTTTCAAGAAAGAAACAATAAATACAATATGATGCAGATCGCAAGCTATGTCATTGCAAAGGCTGTGTCATTGATTGGTTCAACATTATCCATAAAAATTCATGTAGCGTTTCTAAATATTCCCTCTTGTAGTGATTTGAATAGAACTCGTATAGCGTATAGACTAATTAGAAGTGTACTGTTTTGTGATGATATCTCTCTGTTACAATAGATAGAGCTGTCACGAAGCTTCACATCGTAATACTTCCAACAGGATTGTTACTTGCTGCTTGACATTCAGTGACATTCCAGGAGAGCGCCAGTCATTCAGATACTTTCAGGTTATTTCAATTAGCGAGTACAAAAATGCTTTATAGCGTATACCGGTGTACTTGTTTAGACAATACATTTATTAGTATACACAATTCGGATATTCTGTATATTGTTAAGTGATTGTTATCAAATAAATGTTGAGGTACATACCGAAGTGTATGAGACAATAAATGCACAAGTGAGCTAAGCATCATGCGGATATTGTTTACGATACTAAGTGAGTGTTAACGTTTAGTTACACACCGAAGTGAACCAGACAGTAAGTGCAGTGGGAAGCTGAGCATCACGCGGATATTGTTTACGATACTAAGTGAGTGTTAACTTTTAGTTACACACCGAAGTGAACCAGACAGTAAGTGCAGTGGGAAGCTGATCATCACGCGGATAGTGTTTACAATATTAAGTGAATGGTATAGAACTATTGTTTGAGTGCATTATGGGATGGAACAGTACATTAGTGAATATCATGTGGAAATCGTTGATAGTTCATTGTTATCTAAGTGATATAGTAGTTCGTGCAGAGGCGTTTGAAAGTAGGCAACACAAGCATTTTAAACATCTTGCGAATATTGATTATAATTTCTTGTGATTGTTATTAAACTACGATGACGTATATACCGAGGTGATCGAGACAATAAAAGCACAAGTAAGCATAACGTGGACATTGTTAATAGTGGTGAGTGATTGTTCTGTGCAGCATTTGAGTACATGCCGAGGACGAGAGTCTAGACAATACATTTACTAGCCTATACCATGCGGCTATTTATCTGTTTTATCCAATATTCCGTATAGTGTGTAGTGAGTATTACATATATATCGAATTATATAGACTAGGGTACCTTTCACTTGAGCATTAACTTTGTACAAAGTGGTACATACCACGTGGAGACCTTCCGTGTCCCCGATATCATATACTTGTAGTAAATGTTAATACAGTTAGTAGCTGTGTTTTGTGATAAAACGGTTATTGTTGTTGTTTTATTCTGAAACATATAGTGTTGGAACCACCAAATGCAATTCTGTAGAAATAAAATGAAAATAAATTGCAATCTAGAATCGTTTCTAATGCTTTGGTTTTCTTTGGTCTGTCTTTACATCTGACATTTCTGTTCCGGCATTTTGTTGTCGGATGCTTGCCCGTTGCAGACACGCTATTAATATCGATTTTAGTGATATACATATATCTTTGTATGAGTGAAACCTTTATGACCCGAAGTTAAACATTAATTACCACTTGTTTTAACGTTAAATAACATTTCCCCGTGTTAATCGAAGGGTAGTTACCTTTGACACTATTCTTCAGAATCCATGGAAATGTTAGCCATTAATGCATTTAGCGAAGATATTTCTAGCGTGAAATTCGAAAGTGGAAATTAAAGTGTTGTCTACGTATGGTATAATCAATTATCTTATCGTCAGTGTAGTTATGTCTTGAATTAAAAGATCAAAGATAACTGTCATATATTTTTCGACATACTTTGAGATTCTATACAGTCGATACTTGTTGATACAATTACAACAAAATCCGTTCATGTTTTAGATACTAAAGGAGGACTGTGGCCTCCCTGGGCATACAATTACACTCGTCGTTTTGTTGCAATATGAACTAAGTTAGATTGATGATTAATACAGCAATATAGATGTTGTGAACAATAAACGTTTTTAAAGGATTTTAAGTTATGATACGAGTTACCTCCCCATGACCAGGCAGTCGATATTTAATTTGAGAATTATGGAAACAATAAGTAACACAGCTGTAGATCCTTACACATTTCTTAGCAGATGAAAACACATCAGATGATATCATACAATTATATGAAAACGTGTATCCTGTTGCAGATCAGTATTAGCTATGGTTCCAGCGTTTCAATCTAGGAGCTTAATGCGTAATGCGATTGGAGTATGTTGTTGTAATGAACATAATTTACATTATGAAGTTTCTTTTGTATCACACATTTCTTAGCAACGTCTCGGATACACAAATAGCTTAGATTTATAATCACTAGCATTGTACGTTTAACGTGTGTGTTGTTATAAGAATATTTCTTGGATTAAGCGACGACACGTCCGATTTTTTTTCAGGAATAGCCATACAGATTTGACGACGTGTCATAATCATCGCTATTTTTGGTGAATACTTAAAATGATATTTTCACATAGTGAAACACAGTAGAATGTAGATACATATAAATTAGTTGGTGATTTAAGAAAGAACAACTGCAGAAACAAAACGCGCTTAAGACAGATATGGGTCTTTACCAAACAGTAAAATAAGAAACAGGATGGACAGATGAATGTTAATAAACCACGACATAATCTGGGCATATGGAAGAGAGATGGGTGTTTATGAAACAATTACGGTAAAATCTAGTCACAAGTAGGAAAACTGGTGGGTTTTTTTTTATTAAACACTAATGGTAGAAATAAGACACAGGCAGGTCAAATGGGTATTAATAAAACACTTACGGTATAATCTAGAATCAGTTGCCATAATTTGGTCTATATAACTCAATTACGTAGGCCCATGATAGAAAAGGTCCATTTTTCACTGCTTTTGTTATTAAAAAATGTTACCTGTGATATTGATTTACGATAAACGTGATATGGGAAATCACAAAGCACTGTCACCTTGAATTATCCCTTTTTAGCTATATTTACAATAATTATGTTGTGGCGTTATACACAACGTTTGTACTACACACATGGCCGTATGTGAATTATACATGATTGATTCATGACCTTTAACCAATAGTTATTGTTGTATGGTTACTTGCCGCCAACTGATTAGATATATTTATTTTGGACTATCAGGAAGACCATAGCTGCTAAGATTCGGCATCCATGTACAAGACAGTAACTGATTGAACCCGCTCAAATGTTATAAACCATATGAAGATTGATTTGCTTTCAAGTATTTCCCCGTATATGTTATAATTCGTGTACCATAATACTTTCATGTCACACTAAACACTAAATATTCCTATTATATACAACTTGCCCCCGGGATGCATAGTGTTGTTGGTTCAAAAACAGTTTCAGAAATTTCTGTCGTCTTTAGAATCCACTTTTACACGGATAATAGCTCGGCTACTGAATAATAATATAGGCATCTAGAGAGTTTAGAATAGTTCTATAGACTTAACCTCGTCATGTGAAAAGATACCAAGCTATTTTTTCGGAATACCTGATTATATATCCTAAAATGTAATTCAGGCCCAGTGTCTGTTATGTTATTCAAACTTGACAGTACTTTGGGAGATCGTACGCTTTATGTGGTGTATGAAATTTTGGTTTGGATTGATAATGCAACAATATACCACATCCCATGCTCAAATTATCAGCTTATATTGTTTCATTTATGAAACTTAATGCACAGGCATATCACATTTACGTTTTATTATTGCTTATATCATTTTTATTTATTTTTGTAATAGCAGAGTCAAACATTTATTGTTTAATATTTACTAGAATTTCAGATTTGTTAAATAAGTTAAAAAAATACATACATAAATAAATTAACAAAAGAAATTTATATACACATATCAAAATTGCAGCATTATTATGTTGCAAATATGTTAATGGGAATACTTGGATTGTAACGTAGAAATCTAGATACTTGAATGCTAACGAAATGTTTTTCAGTGCTTGGATGGTAACGAAAACAAATCCAGAGCACTTGGATGCTACTGCAATGAAACATTTAGAACACTTGGATGGCTACGAAAATTTAAAATAGAACATCAAAATCCAGTAAAATCTTGTATATAAATAACTTTAAGTAAATAAGTTAATATTCACATATACAAATTTCAATAAAAAAAAAAATGAAAATATGTTAATCGGAAGCCTTCTCCAAAATAACATTAACATCTGATAGAAAACATTACATCAATGATATTATCCAAAGTCCATATCTGATGCGTAAAGCATGGTGTGGATTGTCAGCAAACAGCATCCTAGTGCAAACGGTGGTTAACTGTTGTTGTTTATTTATTTAATATATGCCTGAGATGCCAGATTGAAAATTACCACTAGAAACACCAAAGCCAGGATCCAGTCTACTGGTGCACCAAAAGGCTGTAAAATACAAAACAATATCGTCAGTGACAATACAGACGCTACGTTCAAAACGATTTAAATGTAGTATTGGTTACAGTTTCGGAACGCTTATGAACTGATACAAAATGCATCTTTATAAAATTATTGTATCGCACTTTTAAACAGTTATAGAAAATTACCATGAAACGACTGACCAGAAACCTTTTCGATGACGAGTAAGCTTAGGTATTAACACATAGAATATGATATATTTAGTACATTATCCAAACGATCGGTTTATGGTCTTTGGCATCTTTGTTTAATTTGTAAGATAATGTTTCGATAATGTGATTGAGATTGTTTTGTCTATTTTACTCTATTACATGACACTCGTTCTTTAGTTTAACAAGGACTACTTCACATAATCATTTAATAATTCCCGTGGAATATTGTGCTGTGGGTGGATACGTGTGGCAGAATGTAGCAACCATCTAATTGTCGTTTCGTCATGATAAATGATCGTTAATAAATCAAGTTATAAGATTCTGTCGATTTGTGTAGATCATGTATCATTGGAGCATTCAGACCAGTTCATTGTATCAAATATGTCCAGGTAAGAAATGTAGAAATGTTGTGTGTGTCATTCCTATCTAGACGATTGTTCATACAAAGCAAGACTATTTTGTAACAGCACAATAACCAAATATAAACATAGCACCATAGCTCGTCACGTTTCATGTCTATGACATGTATACACACGTGGTTTGGAAATGTGCAATTGACATTAAGGAAAGTCCGCCACACAGGCGTTTTAACAGGGGGTACTGTAGAGTATATGAACACAGACGTTGGTAATCAGTCGGTCCTTATTTCTTGATATCTTCCAAAGCAACAGAGTAAAGTAAACAAACTCGATTTACAGTCGTTCGTGGACATATGTTACAGTCGAAGCGCACGAAAAGGAGTGAAATGAACTGTATGATCAATACCCTGGTTATTATGTGTAATACATGTAGAACCACTGTACACACAGGAGCAGTCTTGATTGCAATTACCCGTATGTTCAGCTGTTGCTACCTGTACAAGCTAGCTGTCACGAACGCTGATATTTGGGTATTGATATCATGACTGCACAATACCAGTTGTAAACATGGGACAACAATTTTCCTTACCTATATGACACAGTTGTATATGATTAGTGAAAATATATTACCTACAAATAACTTGACGCACCCAAAAACACTTCAATCCATAGTGATACAAATACAGATTTGAATTTCTAATTCGAAATGCAAATAAACAATAATACCTATTATTAACATATTTACCTGCATTGCTAAGAGGATCCACACAAAACAAATAAGGGGAATTAATGCAAGAGTCATCCATCTGGGCATCTACAAAATTAGTAAGGACCCGATTAATAAAAATACCAAAGCATTATTCATATTGGGATAAGGACATTGACTTAACTCCACGTCTTTAAAGAGTCTTTTGTCGATTTTCAGACGTTTCACTGCTTTAAATAAATTGATATAATTGGTCATTTTTAAGTACGAAGATAATTTTGAATTCCATTTAATATTGCATTTGAATCTATTGCAAGTACACTGTAGCAGAAATAAGCAAACATTCAGTGTAACGATGTTTGAGTCTAAGAAGCTTTTAACGCCGTTCGGGTTTGTCGTAAGAAGCTTGTAAAATCTAACATTTAGTCTAATTACGTTTGAGGCTATGGAAGTAGTCAAACAATGTTAAAGTCAAAATTAAGTAGCTTTAATATGGTTACATTTGTCTACTGTAGTTAGAATCTATCATTAGTTGCTCTGCTAATCTATTACAAAGTCTGTAAAGGTTGTAAGACCTAACATAGTATATGAATATTTGAGTCTATCGTTTGTACTTTTTGCGGTTTAATCAACTAAAATGTTAATCAACCTTGTTTACTATGTACTTTGTTCATCCAAGCATGGTACACTCTTGAATACTTTACTTGAAAACAGACGCGGCCTACTCT